TATCACTTAATTTCAGAGTACCGCAATTCACTACATAGCTTCTACTGCAAGAATCCTACACCAACATGCCAATTAAAATCAGGCTCAGCCAACACTTCTAGCTGCAGAAAAAAAAATACAATTGTGACCAATTTAAATTCGGCCTCAGTGTCTGCCTTTTAAAATGCAACACTTTATTCCCAATATATATGTCTAAATACAAATAGATTTCAAAATGTGTCGATTTGTTGAGCAACACATGATCTGTCTATACATACCGGTGACTGGTTTGTTCCGCTGATATAATCATGTTACCTTGTTAGCTTTAACATGTGGTGACATTTCAGTGCCATTGTTTTAAAATACTCTGAATGGTGACTACAGTTAATCAGAACAAATGTAAGGTGATTAGAGGCTACTTGAAATGAATAAAATTAACAATGTTAAAACCGAATCAGCCGAAAAACCGAATGTTTTACGTTAAAGAAAGCATCCATGTTTGTAGCTATAATTAAAGACGTTGGCATAGGCGCATGTAGTTTACTGTCCCCACGACTGTATGCTTCTCCATCACCTATCAAACACTAGGCCGACTGTGCTTAGGCAACCGCACACAACATGCAAACCAGAAAAATATGCACATGCTTCTGGGGGAAACGTTTTCACATTGCGTTTGATTTCGTTATAATGTGTCATTATAGGGAATTATCCAGCTGCCTTTCATTTAACATGCTTAACTTTCGGCCTATGTTAGCTTTCTGTTCCTGTCTCTTATGTTAAAAACAGGTCGGTGCCGACCCTAACAGCATAGGAAGGTTAATAATGTCTCTGAGGACAGTAGGAAACAGGGGTCTTTGACCCTCGCTTCACTAGACGCTGCGGGTGGCGAGTCGTGTTGAGCGAGGTAGTTTTGATAAACCGCATCATCAGCTTTCACAGACACACGGCCAAACTGCTGCTGTTAAGCGTTTATTGGAGGATAGCGTCAGACCCACCTCCTCCTCCTCCTCCTCCTCTCATTCTTAGTTCCAACTTTCTCATTTTCACACAGTTTCTTTCAGACTTGTGCGACACAGGGATAAGCTCCAACATCGCTCTCACAATCTCCGAGTCCTTTGCACAATGTCCAAAGTCCTTATCCGCAACATTTACACGCTCCGGACCGACCGGAACCTTCCCACAGTACCGCTCCACAGGCAGACCCAGCGTACGCTCACGCTCCGTCAGGTAACCGACCCGCTCAGCACCATCAACCATCACCGTCAACCTCATGGCACGGGGCTGTTCCGACAAACCCCACTCATAACGCCACTCATACGCACACAATTCACTGATGAAACTTCCTTTCACTCTCCTCAAAATAAAATAATAATAATAAAAATAATTAAATAATAATAATTTAAAATTTATAAAATAAATAATTAAAATAATAATAAAAAAAATAATAAATAATTTGTAAAAATAATAAATAATTTAATAATAATAAAAAATAAATAACAACGTCACTAGTCGTGACGTCACCTGGCTCCACCCCAACCCCGCCCCCCCAGTGAACTCTTGACCCGTAACCTTTTGACCTTTAGGTCATAAATCTTTTTGAAAGAAGCGGCATTATCCATCTCTCTGCCAGGTCATCCAACGCCTGCATCAAGCCTTCTGGATCTTTATGGATGAAAGGATTACATAAACATACTTATAACTCATAACCTTTTCCATTGCGTGATAATTATATTATGCAACCACAGGAAGCTGTCATCCTATATAGTATTTCGCCAGCTAAATACTGTCTATAAATAGGTAAACTACAATGGAAAGCCATTTGAAAAACAAGCAGTATCTTTCATAATGAATAACCAGTCTTGTGTGACAATTTATGAACATGAACATGGTTTTGGTTATAAACAATGCTTTGACAAAGCTATTATTGAACATGTTGTTACATAATTCTCATGAACAGATGAGTATATTGTGTCATTTGTAGAATGAGCTAAGGTTCGTGGAAAGAAATACAGTCACAATAATAAAGATGTTTCTGTTATGCTGTTTCTCTTAGACTCTTTTCTAAACTTAAAGAAAAAAGTCTAATAATGTAAATGCAAACGTTGCCTGATATCCAAGCCTGTAACAACTTCCAAATTTTCCAAACAAGTTTAACAGAAATTATCCCACACTTCTGAGTTTGATTTTGAGATTAACTGCTGAGGTACCTTGTGTACAGTACCATGTGTACAGCTGTGAAAATGAGGTAAATCCTTCTGGCCGGTGTGTCCTGCATAAAGGCCGGTCAGCCAAGGCCCGGGGGGGGGAGGGGGGGCTCAGATAAAGCTTGTCTTAGCAGCTTGTGATGAGCCCATCTGTACATCCCATGCTGGCCAAATTAACTTACAGTGTTGTAAACACCTGCTGTCGACTAGCAGGGTGATAGACTCAAGATCTCTCCTGTTTAATTCATAGGACCTTGTCAAGGACTGTTGAATGTCACAAATGTGTTATCGCTAGGATGTCCTGATCCACTTTTTTGGTACCCTGATCTGATCCATTCGATATTTATACAGTATCTGCTTAAGTCCCGATCCAATCTTTTAATAAATATTTAAATATACATAAACATAAAAAATAATAATACATAAACTTGTGATATCGCAGTATTCTTCCTTATGATGTAAACAATTACCTATTAGATTTGTTGTATTAAACAACGGTCTGTTACTGCTCACACTCAAAAAGATGGCATCCGAAACATTGCATGTAGCTTTGAGTTTCTAATTTCAAGAATTTCCACACATCTACATCTTGATCTTGATAGTTTGTAACATGTGATGGAACCTTGAATTGGGGTAGCTGATACCGATCAATAAAAAATGCCTGGATCAGCCCTGATTGTGATCTTTAATATCAGCTTGGGAAACCATTGTTTACTGCAATATAAGCTTTAAATATTTTTGGAATATATTATACCTTTTAAACAAAATGCTATTGATGCATATCTTGAGTACCTGAAAGAGTTTGATGGCAGTAAGCAAGGCATTTACGCTGAACAGCAAAAATATCCAGCTGGTACTAGTGTATAATTTGTAAAATACTTTATACAAGTGTGCGTTCAGCAGCAGCAACAACACTAACAATAAGGTCATGCAGTGAGTGGACAGATCTGCAGCTTGCCAGGTCTGTTTATGACATCACAGTGCCCAAGGCCATAGAGCTCCATTGTCTTCAGGAAAAACACAGTGGATGGGAGTTTGCTCTCCCAGATGGGCAGGGAAGCCTCACTAGGCAGCTGAGCTGGGTGGAGACGAAAGCATTTCCCTGGGAGAAGGAAAACTTCAGATTCATATTCCACTAATTGGGGTTATTTCTGCTGCTATGACCAAGATAACCTGCTGCAGTGTCTGAAGCAGCCTTTAATTAGTGTTTACTTTGCTAGGAATAGGGACAAAATTAGCTGCAGCGTACACCATTAGTATTTGTAATTACAGAAAATGAGGTTCTACTTAACCATCACAGTCTGAAATATGTACTTAATTTTCATTGCTAATTCATATTTTTTTTAATTGAAATGGATTCCGTGAAGCCTAATTTATACCCACTAAAAACTCAACATGGCTGATGTTTTGTTAGGGCCAGTGTAGATTTCTCTTACCCATTTCGCATCGGTTTCTTCACAATCGAGCTTGCCTTGACCTTGGGGTTATACACCTGACAGCAAACGGTAAATAACAATCTGTCATGCAGTCAGTACTATAAAGGACTTCTTATCAAGTTATATGATTTAGAAACAAAAGCTTATTCATACAAACTAGAGACATTCCTCTTTGTGTTTTTGACTTGAAATTAAATATACATGACTGACCTCTTAATTCATCACACATCACAGTTCTTATCAGTTAAGACCTATAACACCGTAATTTTGATACATGATTGAATTTTAAACCCAACTGCATGAAGCATCTTCACTTAAAAGTTTCCTCTGAACTCCAGTGTCAATGACCAACTTAATGGTGTCAACTGGCCAAAACATGTCCTCAGTTTGACCTGTGGTGAGGAAGACTCTCCTGTTCTTGATCTGCTCGTCTGGAGAGACAGGCCAATCCCCGGCCTGCTCAGGACATACGCCCAATGGAACCAGGTTGCCCAAACACATGCTTGGCCCGGCGGTCTCTTGGCAAAGAATCCTAAGAGCGTTTTTATACCTCCTGGGACGGCACAAAAAACAACAGGTGGTAGTGTGTCCTCTATTACACTTCCACTTCTCCATTATCTTTAATGCACATTTTAGTCCTCCACTAAAATTACCCACCATATAATTATATAGTGTGTGCAATTTACAGCACTTAAAGAATTCATAAAGTTTTTAAGATGTGACATACTACACTGTACTGATAGGTCTAACTTACTCACATTCTGCATAGAACTCATAAAACAAAAACTAGAATCTGTTTATTATTGTTTATCTATTTATTTACATTTATTTACTACACATTCCTGTTCATTCAGTTCCATGTCCATTTGCACAATCTTTCAATCAAGTGTTTGAAAAATTATTTGTCTTCTGTCCATGTCATATTCTCTTGTTTCTATGTCTCACATTTCTTATTTTCTATTTTGCACTATGTGTAACAAGATCAATACTTCATCTAATTGCATGACCTATGCATCAAATACCTTAAGATGGCAATAAACATTGACTTGACTTAGATTAAATTATACAGTCACTGAAATAGTAACAGAATTGGGAAACATTGATGCAAAAGCGCTGTTTTAGAATACTCTTATTTGCTTATCTATACTCTTATTTGCTTATCTATACTCTTATTTGCTTATTTTTGTTTAGCAGACGTTTTTACCCAAAGTGACATACATTTTTGAGATTGCAGCTGGAACAATTGGGGGTTGTGGGCTTTGCTCAAATGACCAACAGAGAAATAAACCGGGGCAGCATGTGGCTCAGTGGGCTAAGCCGTGTGCCTGTAATCACAAGGTCACTGGTTCAAGCCCAGCCTCAGCACGTCTGCAGCTCCTTGAGCAAGACCCTCAACCCCCAGTTCCCTGGGCGCTGCTACAGGTGGCTTCCCTTCACAGACAGCTTGCTCTACAAAGAGCAAGTTCAGAATTTCCCCACAGGGATTAATAAAAGTGTCAATTATTATTATTAAATATCACCCTGTAATTTGAACCAGCAACCTTCTGATTACAGACATTGCTTCCTAATCCAATACAGAACACACATGTTATGACATGCTGGACATATTAAGTACTATAAACAACAATAATATTTGTTCAATCTTTGAAAATCTTTGTATATTTGGTTAGACTTTTTCAGTGCCGCTTTAAGAACGAAGGCAATATTTTCTCCAATAGATTCTACTTATTTTGAGAACTGCTCAGCTAGCCTATTAAACAGCAGCAAGGTTATTCACAGACAACAAAGCTTCTTTTATAATTAATATTTCCCCAATGAGAAGGAAATTGCAGCAAAAGAATTAGTTATACACGAAGTGTGGCCTTTTAATTAAGTGTGTATGTCTGCCCCTGGTGGTGTAATCCAGGCTACTGACCTCAGAACGGTGTCTGCAGTACAGCAGCTGTCCAGGGGGGGGGGGGGGGGGGTAATGAGCTGTACTGTACTGGTAATGAGCTGGGAGGCAGAGCTCCGCGCACCACTGAGGAATCTGTAAGGCATCGCCATCACTGAATGTCTATGTGCCTAAGCTTAATACAAAAAAAGAGAGATATTTACATCCCAAACAGTTGAAGGCAAAACAGCAGAATTTTATATGCCTATGTTATGATAAAACTCCGGGTAGGGCCGTAATTATAATATATAATAGGGGGAACATCCCCCCCCCAGCCCACAATATTCAGATGTGCTCACAGTGTCCCACCCAAATATATATATATATTGTAAATTACGGCCTTGCTCCCTCCCAATGTTGACTTTATGGCTACGGTCTCGCCTCCAGCTGTTATGATCAGATACAGAACAGGAAATTATTCATGGATTGTTTGCAAAAGCGCAATTGCCTACTTATTTTATGTGCATTTGCGCTGGTATGACAAGAAGATACCTTGCATTTTAACCTGTATTCCGCAGATGCAGTACTTAGCATATAAAGATTAAAATGCATTATATTTTGTTTTCATATCAGCGCAAATGCACATATATAAGTACGTATTTGCGCTTTTACAAACAATCGATTGTCCCACGTATCGTTTTTAAAGGTGATTAATCCGTCCTTGCGTACCAGTTCTGTCCATCCATGCCTATTTGCCAAGTCTTGTAAATGCTCACTTTTAACTTAAGTCCGATACAAGCATATTGTAAAATGCTGAACATGCATGTTGCGTGAAACAGACACATAGGTCCATAGCCATCAGTTATAATTTTATGTTTTGTATCAATGCACACGGTCACCCTACCTGAGAGCTCTTACCGATTTTTGTGGCACTAGAAACTATGAGGAGCTAATTGTTGGTCAAAGTGTCCAAAAACTCAGACCTAACCTTCCAAACTGAGTGTCTTTCTTTCCTCACGTTCATAATACCGTGAGAACTATGGCAACCTATCAAATTTATTGAATTCCAAGTCACCTAAGCGGCAGCTATATTCTTCATCTGAAGCGCATTCATCTAGAGCAAAGGTCGTCGCCATATCTGCAATTAGCTTACAATTTCTATACTCCCGTTACCATCTGACGCAGTTAAAGAATATGCAACTACTATGAGTGTTTAAAATGCATATTCAAAACAAATGCACAATCAATTCACAAGTGGCAAGATGAAGCGGACTTCTATCCCGCCTCAGAGTTTTATCACTTAATCTGATTTATTTGGTCAGATTCACATACTTCGTCAGGTAGACAGTTACAGGTTGCGTCTGATGAACCTGCCTGCGTTTGCAGTTATATCACTGCCTGATGGCATAATCAGGTGTAATACTACAGTAGCGTAATATGAGTAAACCGCGTGTTTTAGACGAGCACAAGTATAATATGTACAATGCATACAAACCATACAGTGAAACACCATTATTTTAAGTGTTCTTAGTACAGGTAACCACTGCAGAAGCAAATCGATAGACATAAAGCAGACAAACTGCTGCGTTTAAAACAACTTTATTTTGTTTTATGTATTTGTTTGTTTGTTGTGTGATAAGCGACCTGTAACTGCTGTATATATAATGCACTGAAAATACATGTTTCGCCACATATTTGACTTCAGGTTTTGTTGAATGTTTACTGAACAAAGAACTGTACATTCACTAGGCACAATTTTACATGAGGATATTTAGCAATATAAACACAGGAAAGGGATAGGCTATGTACACAGAAGTACATTCTTGACTTTTTTGTACATCTGATGATTTTTAAGTAAACAGACGTAAGTAAACAAAACCCGATTTGACTTGATTAAATGAAAGAAACGACATAAAGAAAAGCGACAGACAGCATAATAAATGCAGCGATAACCATTACTTCTCTAATCCAGAAAAAAATGACCCTCAGTTAAACGTTGCTTTAATAAATCAGTGGGATGGGCATCTGTCGCCACTAGAGGACAGTGTAAGTACACGAACTGTATGGATGGGGCTTATATTCACGAACATCACCCACTAAGTACTGTAGTTTGAACGCTTTTGGAACAGACTACGCTGTTTTGGTGGCAAAAAAAATAGGAACAATATAACAATTCTTAAAATCTTCCTCATAACAGAAAATGATGGTGTTCAATTTAAGAGTAGCAATATTTTTTTTCTGATTTTCTTTGTGTATAAACCGGGACAGTTATAGCCTACATTAGGGGTCACCAACAAGGTGCCCGTGGGCACCAGGATGCCCCCAAGGACCACATGAGTCGCCCGCGGACCTGTTCTAAAAATAGCACAACTCTCCAGTGACCAGCATCTAAAATTTAATTTTATCCTGTTTTATTCTTCTTTAATCACATTTGCATTTTATATAGATTTGAAAATGACAATATAAAAAAAAAAAAAACATTTAAAACATGTTTATTATACATGAAGTTTAGATAAGTTTAGGAGGGCGTTTCAAACTGGTAGCCCTTCGTATGGCTCAGTACCCGAGAAGTAGCTCTCAGTTTCAAAAAGGTTGGTGACCTGGTGATCATAATCATATTTTTTTTTGGGGGGGGGGGGGGAATTACCTGTTTACTATTTTTAAATTGTTCCCTGTAATTACAAATAATACATATACTGTGTCCGACAGACAAAAATGCAATGCATAATATCTGATTTTGCAATATATCACATCATTACATTGTTTAGTATATTCAGAGCCGCTGATATTAGTCTTACGTCACGACTTCTGCTAAGGTACGGAACTGGAAAATTTGTCCAGCGCTGATTCTAGCAAACCGATCCCTATCTGAGACTAATTAAAAATGCAATAACATGACTGTGAGCACATCTAGGTAAATGCACAACCAGGAAGCCTAAGGAAAGTCCTTTAAACGTGCACACTGCACTACACAACTTTGTGCACAAAGACAATCATAAAACAAAGCACAGGTTGTTTCAAGTTCAGACAGCTGCAAATGAGTATAAATAAGTACGATTCTGTATATAATACAGTAGGATTTTGAAGCACCATGAAGCGGCATACAGGACATTTTTTAATTATACATTTTACTAAATGCGTACTTGATTAGCAGATGAAATATGGTGCTCATTTATTATAAAGTAAAGAGAATTGTACTACATCAAGTCCAAATTCATTCACTGGGATGCCCTTTTAGACAGGCACAGGTTAACTGCATTCTGTGTAATCAGTATTAAATACAACCTGAAAATGACATTAAGTTTCAGGGTAGCAGAATGTACAAATACATTTTCACAGTTTCTTATCTTAGCCTTTAATCCCAAAACAAACAGAGACTGAGCTCAACACGATGTGAAACAGAGAACATAACAGTACAGCATAAATTTAAAAAATGCTAATGGTATTTGCTAAAAGGATAAAGTCTGTAAAGTGTTATAGATTTTTTTTTGCGAAAAAGTCACCTTTGGAGCTCCTGTTATGTTCCTGTAGTATCTGCAGGTGCAATAGCGTAGGAGTGAGTTTGAGACTGGGCGGGGGGACACACAACTTAATCATTTAAATTCAAAGGCCTGTCTACTGGGGGTGGGGGGTGAATGAAGCCAAGTTGAATCTTTGTGGGGACACCCCCCGTGCCTAAGGTGCATTACCTTGTTAGTGTCACTGTTTCTCCTTCTACCGCTTATTTGGGTTGGTGTGGGGGGGGTCCTGGAGCCTGTCCCAGGTGGCATAGGTTGCAAAGCAGGGCTATGCCCAGACGGGGATGCCAGTCCATCACGAGACTGATACATCCAAACACTTTGGCCGATTCAATGATGTCTTTAATAGCAGGAGAAAATGCATCTCCACACGGGGGCGCCACTAGAGATTTTGGGCCCCATGAAAGCATACCTTGTTAGGTCCCCAACTCAGATCAATCCAGTTATGTTCAGGGACCTGGGATTATAGTTATTAAAGCAGATCAGATATGATCAGAGCCTTTCGTAAGCCTCATATATCTTATACAATGTTTTCACTGTGTGCTTGATTATTTCAGTTGCTCAGTTGTATTTTCCTCTATGGTGTGACCTTCCCAGCAAACATTATTCCATTATGTAAATGAATTATACCATAAGACAAATTAAATTAGAATGAATTAAGATGCGTCCAATAATTCTCAGCTGTAGCACGTAACCACTTTGAGTGCATTTCTTGTGATGGACAGTGGATTCCTGTCTAATGCAGTTGCTCCTGTAGTTCAAGGTCTGGCCCTCTGGCCTTAGTGCTCTTCTTATCTTTGGATGGACTGAGAGTCTGGGGTATAATGTTCCTGGTATATGAGGTAAATCACTATGATGGTAAATGGATATTCAGTCACTAAAAATAATCATATGTTCATGTGATACTTCCTGAGTAGCTTGATGCTCAGTGAACTCCCTGTGCTCTTGTTTAGAGGTTGGAATTTTGTCTGCCGGTTTTTTCTTGCTTGTTTGACAATTTTTTTTTTACATTCGTTGAGTAACGCTGGACACTTGTTATACACGGATTTCAACCGTCATAATAGTTCCTCTGCAATAAACTTAAAGATGATATCCATGTTGCCTGAGATGTGAAATATATTTGAATAAGCTGACTCAGCTCTCCTGTGCTGCCTCTCTCCTCTACCCTGTGAACACCAGGTGGCAGTGTGAACTCTACTATGTAAACATCCCTTTACCTCCCAGCTCAAACATGGATATTGATCAGCACTGGGTTTACAATAAATCGGGTTAGGAGGTACACAGACTGAAAATTTGTTTTATTGTTTAAAGTCTGATGTAAACTTTGTAAGTGCTCTGTTGTTTTCTAGGAAACTGTCTGTTGGATTACAGTGGGGGACTTCCCAACTGTCATACTTTTGTTTCCTTTGTTTATTCTGCATAAATTGAAGCGAACCTCACATGCTCGAGAAGGCAAAAGTACAACGTTTACATTATGGACCAGAAAGTGACTGAAGAAGAATTCCCTTGGCTCACACAATCCAAGGAAATGCAGACGGAGAAAAAAATCTAAAATGAGTTCATGTGAGTGCTGTGGATTAAATTCGATATACTTCCGTAACTTTTATATACCTTTTATGTGCTTACATTCCAGTTTCCACATGACTTCCATACACATAAATTCTCCTAAATCTTCAACACTTCACAGGTTAGAAAATGAACATTGTTTTCTCTGCCTTCAAAACCACTCCGGAATTCAAGAAAAGTGGAAAATTCTCATTATGGTGCAGAAGAGAAGTGTCCTGGGTTTCTCTTGCAAAAAAAAGATAATAATAAAATAAAATCACAAACCAAACCAAAAACCAATACCAAAAAACAAACCCTTAAATGCTATTGTTCAAAGTGTCTACCACAGTGCACCATATGGTAATAAATACTAGTGATGGCCAAATGAAGTTTCATGAACCATGTGCTGTTTTTTTTGACTCCACTAGATGGTGCTCTTGGTTTACTTTGGGGCATGCTTTCGCCCCAATTTTTGAACAGAGAGCACCATCTAGTGGGGTCAGAAAATACAACAAACGGTTCACGAAGCTTCATTTGGCCATCACTAATAAATACAGCATATAAATAATTTACAAGCACCTGAGCAAGGACTCACAGCACCTTTCTGAGGCAGAGCACCAAGGTGTACGCTCAGTCCTTATCTTCAAAACACCAGAGACGCCCAAGTCTAGGGGTGCAAAGGGTTCCATAGTGCAAATGAGGGTCTTCATCTTTAGACTGGCATCCTGCGCTTTGCTCCTCTACTTCCTGTCTGCAGTGATGTGAGGCCTGGGAATTTGTTTGGGCGCAGACCTACAAACAAAAGATAAAGTCCTACAGATTGAATCTACACTTGTGATTCACTACAATTTCCCACAAAAATATTCACGCATTACATATCACTAAATCATTTTTTTATATATATATTGTTTTGCACAGGGCCACTTTTTTGGAACAATGAAAATCTTTTTATTATAATGAAATGAAATGATTGCCAAGGCATGTAATGTAATCAATTTGAAACACTATGGAAATAGACGCTGATACTGAAATCTGCGTTCACCGATTGCAGACACTTTACATTAACATGGGAATATTTACATGAAAAATGCATCTACACAGCACACCCCCTGAAGGTTAAACGTGATACATCCTGTTTTATTAACAGACATGATCAAACAACAGTATTTACAGTCACTAAAGTAAGTCTATTAGCAGCTATTGTTCCGATTGTAATGTCAGATTTACTGGCAGGAGGAAACTGCTAAAGCACAGCTGATACAGTGAAACCCGGCTGCCCTAGATTAGACTAATTGCCAGTGTGTGTCTGGTGTAGCAATATAGCTTTTGGGCAGCTTAAGATCTGAATCTGTTGTGTTTGCATATTCAGGTCTTTTTAGTTACTTTTTCAGTTTTATTTTTTTTCCGTTTAAAGCAGCGTGAATGTGATGTTAATATTAATTTCTTTGATAAACAGTAATTCGTTGGAACTGTTGTGTGATTTGTCCCTCATAATCAGCCAGCTTCCTCTTCATTTTATTGCTTGAGGTACCATATAAAGAGATAAATATCCAGGCTGTCATAACAGTGTAAATGATTCACGAGTTTTGCTGGTCTTTGCTTTTCTCACACTGCGAAACGAAGCAGGGGTGAAATCCGGCGGCAGCTGCAATCATTCTCTTCACTTTCGCCTTATTTTCCATTCTGTGAAGCTGCCCCAGAGACTCTACACCCGGCCTGATCCCCTCCACCACCTAAAATGCGTTTTGTTTTCTTGTTCGGTTTCCCTGTTGATCTTTTGAATAATTTTTTAGGCTGTTCCTCCTCACCATTTCTGTTAGCCCCATCTCCAGTTTAGTGCACCACCATTCCCAGCCCTGTCCCATGTGGTTCTGGTTGCCATCCTGCCCCAGGCAAATATTAAACACAGTTTGCTGGGGTTTGAGCAGGAAATGAGTCATCTTTGATCATGCAGTTATAGAGATTTTGTTGTAGTACAAGTTTATTTATAAGGTAAATATGTGGGGAAAAAAGATGTGCCGGTAAATGTAATTTCACTACAGGGCAGCGTTTCCCAATCCAGTCCTTGGGGACCCACAAACAGTCCATGTTTTTGCTCCTTCCCAGCTGGTGCAAAAATGTGGGCTGTCTGACAGGGAGCTGAGAGGGAGCAAAAAACGTGGACCCGCTGTGGGTCCCCAAGGACTGGACTGGAAAACATTGCTTTAGGGTGTCCACTTACCTGACAGGCTGTGGGACAGGAGGCACAGGTCTGGGGACACTGGGGACAGGGACGGGCAAAGAGACGCGGCCACCTATGGGTGAAGTGCCACGTCCAAGGCGAGGGGTCCTCCCTAGGGGGTCTGCAGGGAGGGGCTTCTGTGGAGGCCTGGGTTTCTCACTTTCCTGATAACGACAGGTAATTGGAGAATTCTGCTCACTGATACTTGCTGTAAACATGCTTCGTCCACTGCTTGAATTGTACTGTGACACAGTTACCACTAGAGGGCACTAATATGCCATTTCATTCATTCATTACAGCCAGGACTTGCCACCTCTCCTGCGTGGCAGTTGTTTCCACTGGGCATCTGATGAAGAGATATCATGTGTCAGTGATCTGTCTGGGGAGTATGATGTAATGACAAATGTCTGCTACCTTCTGCAGCTGTTCTGCGTTGCAAAATGAGAAAACGAAATATTTCCGTTGCAGCAAACGCAGTCGAATGCCAAACATCCAAACTCCCAATCCCTGATTTTTGCCCTTATTAATGGCCTCACTGTATTCTAAGACTTTGCCCAGGCATTTTTGCCATTCCCTGAGAAACGCGTTATTTGTAAGTGGGACTGCTGCATTGAGAGACCTTGTCTCTAAGCATTTACCACGCCAGTGATTGCGAGCAGCTGATTTAGCTTAAATCGCCTTAATCGCCTGAGCAGAATAAACCTTCCCCTTGTGAGTTGATCTCATTATTCGACTATGGAAAGATTTTGTCATGGGTGCACAATCTTTTTCCTGGCCTGATGGAGCAAAGGTCTTTACACTGTACATTATCAGAACATTGCCTATGTAAGATGGTAGACACAGCAAAGGAATGTGGGCCTTCATTATACGTTTGCGTTCCTCATGCTAGTGTCAACTGCTTTGTGCTGTGCGGATTCCAAATCATTCCTGTGGGAGCAGTTGGCGTAGTGCAGCTAATTTGGGTACCTTTAAAGATTGCAAATGCTCATATTTAGGAAAGAACACAAAACAAACGGACTGAGAAGGATAATTCTTTGTGGGGACCTAACAAATCTGCAGAATTGTTGGTTCACTCACAATGGCTTGAAAAATGCCATGTTCAATGCTTTACACTTGCACCAATAGTATAAACATGCCTGCTGTATCCCAAAGGTTTTTTTAAAGATTTTGACTAGAAGAGCCGTTCATAAAGACCTAACGAGGCTGGGATGTTCTGTGGTGCGGTGGCTCAGTGGGTAAAACTGTGCCCTCACACCTTTGTGGCTGCAGGTTCGATTCCTGCCTAGACTGTGTGTGTGAGTGTCTATGGATGTTCTCTTGTTAGTTTGCTCTGTGTATTCTGGTTTTAGGTGAACTGGTATCTCTAAATTGTCCACAGTGTTTATTACCTTTGATGGACTGGATCCCATCCAGTGTATCTCCTGCCTTGTGCCATATGGAATAAAATCCAGGATCCCTGCCACCCTGTGCTGCATGAGGGGATATGGATGGAGGTTTTGCACCCTGCAATGTATTTGCTAGTTTTCCGGTCTTTGCCAAATGCACCAGTTCAATCAGTATCTCGGTGATCTGCCAAGGATTTCAAAACATGGGACCAAATGGCCCATTAGACATGAAAAACGTGGCCATTTTCAAAAAAGGGGGGCTACAGAACCGGGGGGCTACAGAACCGGGGGGCTATCACATACATTTTATGTTTCTCTTAGAGACACGCGAGTCTGCTACCTTTCTTATGTCCAACGGCTGTTTATTGTATCACTGTCAAATTTATAAAAATAATACTTATTATTAATTATTATTGCTGTTGTTGTTGCTATTATGGATACTCATATAAAGAGTGAACATTAAACTCTTCAACATAACTCATCATCTATACAGACCTTGAAGCAAGGGTTTACTTCCTGCATTGTAATATTTTCCTCTGCTTCTCCTCTGTAACTCTACAATACACAATCAGTTTCTTGGTAATGAATATATCTGTAGTCTCATCACACAACAGACAGACAACTGGAGACTGGGACTGGACTGAGTGACTTTATTTTCAACCTTCTTCCAGGCAACATGCAGTTTTTTTAAATTCCTCTGCTACTTTGCCAGAAGAGGACGTTACAGTCTCGCCCACATTCAGAGATGAGATACCAGGACAGTTCAACTGGTTCAACAGGGGGACAAGGCTTTCAAATTTAGTTATTGCTAGATCCTCTTCTACTATCCAGAAGATACTCAATACTCATAAACCTACTGCCTCTTTTAAATTCATTACTATTGCCACAGGTTGCACTAAGGACCCAGTCAAGGATTCAGTGACCATAGCCTGTTTACGGTCTCTACAGTCAGCGCTTGTCTTTCAATTTCTACACTCTTTACTAGTCAATGCATTACTTTTGTGATGTTTTATGTAAAGCTTGCAAGTCATAAAGTTTTTCTCATCATCATATTCTAACTATGAATATTCCCTCAAGCATTTACTATGAAATGGTCTTTTATCTGCAGTCTTTTATTGGACTGACTGCTTAATTTCACTGGTCCCTATCAGTGAGGAGCAGTCTGCTTCCAAATGTGACGAGTCGTTCTTTTCCACCATATTTGCAGCTACAGCAGACGTCACTGATGGCCGATCGACTGAATTATCGTGTGTTTGTCCCTGATTGACTATTTGTTTTGTGAGCTGGGAGCCCGGAAAGAACATTCCAGAATCAAGCAAGACTTGCTCACCGACTTGTACTTGTTGGCCATGATGCATATACAAGAAAGTACAATGTGTATGATGTGAAATTTCTGCTTCTGATGTGGACAACCAATAAAATTAGCCGATACGCTTCAGTCGATACGGACGCTTGAGAAGGGTTAAATGTAGCTTAGAAATGGCCCACAGATCCGTTCAGTCAAAACTGGCCCACATATGCAATTGTAAAATGTGGAATCCATCCTTTTTGTGCTGCAATGGTGAAAGGAAGCGTCTACGACATCACCCAGGTGTCTAAAATGCTGGCAGGAGGATTTGATGCCAGGCCATGAGGTCTGCAAGTCCTACACGATACATTTCTCACTAGGCTGGTTCTTTCCAAACCTGATTAAGCCATAACCTGAATCACTGAGCATTTGGATGGAGCCAGCAGGAGGTAAAGATGTAGATGGTCAGGATTTCCATTTCTACAGCAGTGGTCCATTTACTCCCTGCTTCCAATGGAGAAACTGCACAGCGAGTCACAGCCTCACTGCAGCTCAATTAATCTGATCTCTGATATCTGTAATCTTTGTGGTTGTTTCTGTTGTTGCACATCATCGGACTTTATTAGCCAACACCAGAGCAGAGGTCTTTGGTAGCATCACCACCCCCCCCCACTACCTCCCTCAACAAACCGTCGAAGGCAAAAGTATTCAAATAAATATTAAAGTCCCCAGTTAAAAAAATGGCTGAAACTAAAGGATGTACCTCCTGTTGCCAAGCAATGATTGATTGATGTTTCACAATAAGCAACACAAATACCACATTGAGTATTTTTCTCGTTAGTTAAACTTATGCCATTCAAAACACGCTGTGCTGTTTTGTGACATGAAATGATAAATATTGAGCATAAGGAAAATAACATGCATGAGTGTTTTTTACACTCCGGGACTCAACCGTCCCCCATGAATCTTTGGAATACGGCTTAGCGAAGCCACCGCGTTTGTGTGCGATTAAACATGCTGTGTTAGTGTGCGGGGGGGTTTGTTTTTTGTTTTTTTTTCATTCTGACTTACCCAGTTGTCCCTGAAGAGGGGCTGGCGTGGGAGGCTGTGGAACGCTGCACCCCTCGGTGGGGGATCAGCATGGCGAGCGGGGGCCTTTTGAGGGGTGGGGGGCTGCGTGCGTCCGGTGCCCAGGGACAAGGGGCCGCTGATGTGGATTGGCTGGCACTGGGGTAGCCTGCGCAAGTTGGGGGTGTGCAAGTTCTGCCCCGAAAGCTGAGACTGGGAACACAGGTGAGTCAGCTGTGGGAATGAATAGCAGCACCCAGTTTCCCACTAGTATCAAATGTATCGCATAACATCCCAATATCAAATCATAACATAAAACAACTCACATGGTTTTAGAGTATACCCTTTATTTATTTACACAGCTTAGTGTGTTTTATTAAATCAAGTCAGAGAAGTATTTTCTTAGTGGTACATTTAGTTTATTTAGCAGATGCTGCTATGCAAAACGACATATTTATTTATTAATTTTTTTTGAAAAAGCAGACAGTTCCAGGGCCAGACAGTTCCTGGAGCAACTTGGGTTTAAGAGCCTTGCTCATGGGGCCCAACAGTAAAATCAATGGGATTCGAACTGACAACCTTCCCATCACAGCGTCCAGGCCTGCCTGTTTTTCCAAAACCCAAAAATGTGAAGACTGATCCCATGAAGACTGGGCAATTTAGGCCAGAGTCATCCACAGGTGAGTTCAGTAATATTGGAACTGAGACGGATATCTGCTAGAAGATGCTGAGGACTTCATTTAAACCCCCTGCATGACAATGAACTCCGGGTTCTCAGGATTGGGGGTGGGGTGGGGCCACAAAATCCTCACAGGCTAGTCACGCTTGCCATCTCCGCATGCATATCAGTGCAAATCAAACCTATTCCATTTTTCTACCAATTCTTCAACCAATAAATCCCCCATCCTCTCCTAGACGCTATGGCATGCATCCATGTCATGTGCCCAGTATAATGATCAGGCCCCCTAGTTTAAATCTCATTTAAACGGCACCACGCCTCAATTAGAGCTCGGACGCACTTCTGTCACATCACCCTGGTTATTAATATTCCTTCAGAGAGCGATGACACATAAATCAATTACCCGGATAGCAGTTGTCTGGCTTTGACAGTAATTGCGGAAAGCAATAGGGTTTTGCCGTTACTTGGCAGTTAGTGTCTGCTCCGGGCCCTCACTGGGAAAACGCACTGCATCCAATTGGATTGGGAGTTTGTCTTTTATTTTTGACAACTTAAATAGGTTTGACGGGCAGTGTTCTTTGCCTCACAGCTGCAGAGTTGAATAGGTTTCTAGCTCTGGCGTGTGAAGTTTGTTTGTTTTCGTTCACGAACTGGGATTTTCTCAGCATCACAAAGCCATCTTGTTCAGAACTGCAGAATATAAATTTGGGTGTGACTGTGTGAGCAGATATGCAATAGAATAGCATCGTGATACTTTGTTCATCCCTGTGTGGTAATTGGGTATCGCATACCCCATCATACTCTGGGGGCACATACCCCATCATACTCTGTATGAGACACACAGACATATCTACAGGTGAGATCAAGCTCTGAGGCCAAGATACAGTGTCAACCAGTACCCAGAACCCCTGAAATGATGAGCGTTAGAAGTCTTGCACAGGGCCCAGTGGTGTGTAATAAAGCATTATGTAACCCTAACCCTAACCCTAAACCTAACCCTTGTGATTGGTTCTGGTCCCAGCATAACCTGTGAATTGCCCTCGGATTGATTCTGGATTAATAAAGCCACTGATTGGAGGAACTGAAACTGAAACCGGTTGTTTTTTTTTTTTTTTTTTATTCCCTCCTCCACCCCCCCTCTGCGGGGGACTGTATCTATTTATTTATTTATAATTTTTTTTTTTTTTTTTTTTTTAAAAAACGGTTGTTATAGATGCGTGAAGGAAGTTCAATATGTTTTGTGTTGGGTGTTCATTTTAAAGTCTGTAATTTCAGTATGATGGAACGGAAGAGCACAGCAAAGGGAAATGAGACCCACCTTATATATACTGGCGCTTGGCAGCTTAGCTGGGGGGGGTTGAGGAGGAGAGGACCTGCATGTGGAATGCGAGTGATTTGGATTGGGGGGTCGGTTTGTGCCCACAGACCTGTAGATACAGAGAAATACTATTAAGCAATACATGTATCAATCAATATATACTGTACCACACACATACGAACGTGTGTGTGCATGTACATGTGTGCGTGAGTGTGTGTTTGTGTGCGCGTATATAAATTTAGTTATAGTTGCAGGTAACTCTAACTTGAAGTACCTGTATCTTAATTGTTCTCTCAACTGTATGATGCCTGAATTATACACTGAGATTAAATATTGCTATAGATATAGGCTAAATAGAACATACAAATGACATAAGACAAAATATGGTTATAGGACTGATTGGGTTGTAAAGATGTGCAAATGGGCGATGTGGTTGAAAGGGACGAATGTGCAATAGATAACAAAGATAATATACATCTACATTTATATTTATTGAAATGTTTGTTTTCAAGTGTCTTAAGGTTTGCCATCTTACAGAGATTGAACTCAAACTGCATTGTTTTGCTAATAGGATTTGTAGCTCTTATTGCAAAATATGACATAAAACCACAGTCACAGACAGAAAAATGATTTAGACTTTCTTTCCCATGAAGTATAACTTTTAAAAAATGATTTATTTAGCAGATGCTTTTGTCCACGGCGATGTAAAAGTGAGGATCAGAGAGCAGGGTGATAAGGTGCCCCTCGAGTAATTGACGTTAAAGGCTTTGCTCAAGGGCCCAACAGTGATATCACTTTGCCAGCCAAATTTCAGTCACTGACCATCTGGTCATGGGCACATAGTCCCACACCCCACCTAAGGTAGTACCTCGTTAAACTAGTTAACTATTTGGCTTGAAAATGATGTTTGGAGGAGTGGTACCTTAACTTTTCGATGGCTGTCTTCTTGTTAGTCAGTAGCAGCCTGAGGAGAGTTTTCCGTTTGAGGCACGCAATGAGCCCAAGAGCCACGAGGCTCAGTACTGTCATCACGACAGCCACTGTCACCCCTTCGGCATCAGCTGTAAACGGACACATGAGAAAGTGGAAAATTTAAACGCGACAACTGACGTCCTAGCAGACACATAGCTCTGAGAAAAATTAAGAGACCACTTTTTAAAGATCTGAATTTTTAAATCCTGGTTTAATCCTGATTCTGCTACAGTGCGAGGCAGGTGGCTTCCAGGCTCAAAGTTTCTAAGAAAGCAGTACACAAGAATAAGGTGAAGCAGGAGACACTGGGAACAATAATGAACCAGCCAGGTAAATGGAGGGAGCGACATTCTGATGCCGGAGATGAGCATCAACTTATCCAACAGTGTCTCATAAATCGGAGGATGACATCAAATGACCTTCAAAAGGAATGGGAAACATTAAGTGCAGGTGTGAAGTGCACTGCTAGGACAGTTCGTATCAGGCTCCTAAAAGCAGGACTGAAGATGTATAAAGCAAGGAAGAAGCCCTTCATTAATGAGAAGCAGGGAAGAGCCAGGCTGCAGTTTTCAAAAATATATATATTTTACACAGACACACACCCATAAACTGAGAAATCAGTGAAACTGAAACGTTGGCTGTGGTCTGTTATTTTTTTCCGGAGCTGTATGAATGATTGTGGTGGTCATGGCAGAGTAGGTCATGTCAAAGTCCTTCTACATTGCTTGTAGCTTCTCCACCCAAGTAAAACAGGTCCGACCCCTGTGGAAAATACCTGTCAGCCTCATGGGGCCGCTGTCCACGCTTCCCCCAAAACCCGGTCTGTCACAGAAGGGCGGCTCCCAGTTCATCTCACAGTGGCAGTTCTTCTTGTTGTTGCATACCTGTCAAACACCAGGATTCTGCAAGGTTTCCTATTTATTGCAGCTATTTATCCCCACGACCCTGACCAGGATAAGTACTTAAAAGATGGATGGATGGATGGATGGATGTAGTTGTTTAAGGTAAGCAACTCTAGGTCTCAACCTTAAACCTTCTGACCACAGTTACATGTTGTTATCCACTTGACCACCTGCTCCCTTTAAAGGCCACTGCAAGCCACTGGAAAATCCTCATGAATCCATGTGTCTTCTGTAGATATAGGTGCAGTAATGTACAGTTCTATAACTTTTGTTCCATCACCTTATTAGATGCAGTTGTGTTTTATTTGGCCAAGTCTAGCCTAGTATAATAATGCATAATGTGAAATCCTCAGAAATGTTCCTGTAAAAATGTTTGTTTTTGTTTTCCCAAATGAAATGTGCAAATACGTTTGTATACTAAATATTACCTAAGAGCACCACCTTTCTACAAAGGGTAAGTGTCATTTCTCCGAAACTAATGTACTGGAGTACGGGAAGGGAAACACCATGAAGATCTACTGATTTTCCTGCGCCAAGGTTTCACTCTGTTTTTTTTGGACGTCCTTATCCTTAAATGATTTTGTTCTGCGAGGCCCAGTAGGACACCCCAGTGAGGTAATAAGATCCAGCTGAGGGTTCCTCTGGCAGGAACCATCTTGATCTGATCTAGAGCAGCAGATTTCAGACCGTTCTGGGAAAGCCTCTTGTTAACATGCAGTTTGTACAGTACTGTAGAGGTTGAAATCATCTGGACTCATCCAACTCTGCTTTGAACCACAAATGAGCGCTTAGACCCAGTCTTGCACAATTCCTTGGGAATCGTACACAGATGATTCCTCTGTTCCACAACACTGTACTCAATACGCAATTAAAAGATGGATGGGTGAATTATTCCTGTGCGCTCAAGGTGTTTCTGTTCCTTACAAACAACTAACACAATAAAGTCAAAATGTTTACATTCAAAATCCTTACTCAAAATGCTGAACGAGAACAACATCCAAAATAAACTGGTCCCGCAGTGCCATTTTCCAGCCAGGCTATAATTCTCACATCGAGCTGACTTATCCATTTGAGGAGAAATCTAAAAGTCTTCGATTCCCCGCTCCGGCAAGAAAACGAACGCCATCTTAAGGTTAGCCGAGATGAGTGGAGGTGTTTGGGCTTGATCAATGTAACCTTTAACGCTGAAACAGTGAGGTATGGATGTAAGGGATGGAGGTACCAGATGAGGCTGGGAGGCAGTGAAGTATTAGGAGTGGAAGTAAAATATAGTGTACTGTCTCAGACTAATGGAGTGTAGAAAAGGCAATCTACTCCAACAATGTCCCCATCCACCTGAGACATTACAGGCAGACTTACCCCACGGCTGTTGCAGTTCCTTGAGCACTCATGCACCCCAAACACACTAATGTTCTGGCATCGCCGGTTCAGACACATCTATGGGATGAAGCATAATGTCAGCTGCGGAAACTGCGACTAAATATCCTTGTCCTATGAAATGTGTTGTTCTGCAGTGAGCTGCTTATAGTCGTATCGGATTTCATGCATGATTTGTCTGTCTGTTATACTTCATACCAAAACAGAAAACACCAACAGCAACCAAGCTACTGTCAGAGCCCTGCTCCTTTTAACCACAAACCCCCCCCCCCCCGGCTTTGTGTAGGAGAGCCAGGTGCCAACTGGGAGGGGGTCAGTGAAGCTCTCACCCCTGGCAAACAAAGAGTCCCAGAAGAGACACAGGCAACGGACAGCTGAGGATCCCCTGTCGATTTTGAAAAATTTCCTCTGTTGGTTGCCCATCTGATTCCCCCCACTGTGGGCCTCAGGTTTCAGTAAAGATGCGGCTTGACTTCATGGTTCACCTAAACTGACTGACCCGGGAGCGCCCTATACGTGAGGAACTTGGCCTGATCTGCAAATCCCTATGACCAAACCCTCAGCCCCTTGATGAAAAAAAGATGTTGACACATGCATAACAGGCTAACACAGGGCTCAGAAGAGGAAAGCAAGCTGGCCTTATCCCTGCAAATATTTCACTTTTTAAATGACTCCACCACTTCAGAATGCTTGGGCAAGAAAAGTAAGACAATGGATTATGTTAGGATTTTCCCCTTCTCAGCCATATGCAAACATACAGCACAGCCTTCTATTGACTCAAAAAGGACTGCAAAACCAACAATTAGTGGTAATATTTAATGTTTCTCTGTATTTATCCGATTTTAAATTTGCCAACGGAACACAAAAGAGTCGCTGTGGCTCGATGGTTTAGTGCTTGTTATCCGAAGGTCGCCGGTTCAAATCCTGCAGTTGGCAGAGTGATGTCATCGTTGGACCCTTGAGCAAGGTCCTTAACCCCAGTTGCTCCTGGGACTCGCTAACCCTGCTTTCCGGAGTGTATGTCACTTTGCATAAAAGCGTCTGCAAAATATGCAAGGCTTTTTTTTTTAAACTCCCTTTTATGCTGTTGTTAGAGACATACTGAAGTCATTATGGCTTCTCTCACCATGGCATTGCCACATTTGGTTCCTGTAAGGACGAGACCTGGATCAGGCATGTCGTCCCCTAGGTAGACATGTGTCCCTCGGCACAGTATGCGCCCGCCCTCCTGCAGGGGGATGTTGGTTTCGATGGAGACCGCATTTGTGCCGATGACAGGCCTTTTGGCTCCTCCCTGGCACTGGATTTTTCCACACTTAGCATCTCTGCAAAAAATAAATAAAGTAAGAATGTCTTAATCACCTTCACAGGATTTGCAGTAAGGAGCAGTGTTTGCAGTAAGGAGCAGTGTTTGCAGTAAAGAGCAGTGTTTGAAGTAAGGAGCAGTGTTTGCAGGCTCCTTTGAGCAACAGCTGTATGTGCTGCTTTAGGAGAAATCTGAATCCTCGGAAACACAAGTAAAACAATTTCTGTCATTTCTGTTACCATTGTGATAAAAAAAAATGATAAGGCACAAAGATACCTTATTTTCTCCAACTAAAGTCCAGTGAATTTTCATAAGACCGTATTTTATAGAAGTAATAATTTGAGATCTAAGGCAAATATTGAATGATTTAATTAATGGTGTCCAATCACAGGGGATGCAGCCCTCGTTCTCCAATCACAGGGGATACAGCCCTCGTTCTCCAATCACAGGGGATACAGCCCTCGTTCTCCAATCACAGGGCATGCAGCCCTCGATCTCCAATCACAGGGCACACGGCACTTGTATGTGGCTATTCTATTGGTGCTCAAGAGGTATGAATTTAAGGACTCCGCGGAGAGTCACAGAATCACGGTACTACAATGTGAATCATCATGCTCAGCTTACCGCGCGTCACATTTGGCGAACGACCCCTTGCCATCTTTTCCACAGTTCCCATACGGATCCCCGGCAGAGTTAACTCTCTCAAAGCAAATGCCGGGTGCTGGCTTTGCTCCTGCGGTGGAGAGCAGAGGAAGGTCAAAGCCCAAGGAAGGACTGCCTGCATCAGTTTGTGCACCAAAGGTAGATTAGCTTGCCTAGGGGCCCTAGGATGACTTATGGACAGCCAGGTGATTTAATGAACTGTTCAATTTTTCCTGAGGTGGGGCAGGGCCCTGCTGTTTGATGAACTCCTAGGTTATAGCCTAAGATGGCCTATGCATTAATCTGACCCTGGTATGCATACTCACATAAAAGACACATTCTGTGTTCTAGGTCTCCATGCCCACCAATAACCTACACTAGTTATCACATAAATTGTACGGTTATACTTTACATTAACTGCACCTATATAATGCCATTATAATGCCTTGATAGAACATTCAGTGAACCTTCATAATGCATTCATAATGCTTTCATAGACCATTCATAAGCAGCATGGAAGTATACCTTAACATCCTAACATACCTTAGCAGCTTAATAATAGCAAGCATTATAACTGTATAATGTTTATTAATGTATATTAAAACTGTTAAGGTATATTAGCATGTTAAGATATACTTGCATGTTGCTTATGAATGTTCTACTAATGCATTATAAAGGCATTATGAGGGTGCAGTTAATGTAAAGCATTACCAATTGTGGTATCATATAAATATTATCACATTAATTGTAGCAGTTCTCCACTTTAAACATTGTAAACTGTATGTTCACGTTAGCTACTGTGCTCAGCCGGGCCTTCCTGAAACCAGAGCTAGTCTCACATCTAAGGGTCCTTAAGTACCGTGCATGCCGCTGCACTGCTAACGCTAACAGCCGCTCACCCGGGCCCCACAGCGTGATGCACTGCTAACGCTAACAGCCGCTCACCCGGGCCCCACAGCGTGATGCNGCTAACGCTAACAGCCGCTCACCCGGGCCCCACAGCGTGATGCACTGCTAACGCTAACAGCCGCTCACCCGGGCCCCACAGCGTGATGCACTGCTGCTCGTGGGTCTGGCAGACCCCGTTGTAGCAGAAGCCGTCCAGGTCATAGCAGGAGTGGCCGTCGTGCAGGTACACGTTGGCGGGGCAGTGCGGACCAGCGCCCGTGCAGAACTCAGGCAGGTCGCAGGCGTTGCTGGACTCCCTGCACGATGTTCCTGCTGGCTTCAGCTGCCGAGGCAGGGGAAGACGGGTCAGGCATATTATATGTTATATATATATCTATATCTATAATATGAATATGTGTGTATGTGTGTGCATGCATTTGTGCACATATTCAGTTCGATTCAATTTATTTTTATATAGCGCCTTTCCCAACAGAGTCGTCCCAAAGCGCTTTACATGGACGTGTTGTGATACATTAAAAATCATTAGGGACAGTAATACAGAATATATGCAAATATACTGTGAATAAGTCTTAGACTATATGGAAATGAACGGTAACACAATAAAAAGTAACAAGAATTTCTTCTGTTCTCCACAAAGTTACTGAACTCTCCTCGCATGGCTTGAACACGCTTCTGTTCCCAAGGGGACACCCCGGCCATTTCGTGTATTTGTTAAATTTCACCACCAGCTCACTTAATTAACTTGGTTAAATTATTTCACAAGGTTCTGCCAAACGTGGTATGCTGGTGGTTGAGTCAACAAATGCAAGGCTATATCTGTTAAACTGCAAATATGGGTGTGCCGTTAGGAGGGCTTTTGAATTGGCTAAACTCTGACAGACATAAAATTGAAGTTTTACAGCATCAAAGATAATTCAAACATAATAAGTGCACCATTATTATGATACATGAATTTCTTTAGCATTTTGCAATGCTCTGGAATGCAATTTCCCTGCCGTTCAGTAAATTATGATTCTGGCAGTACTAGTGAGCGAGTATTAATGATAAAGTGTTACCTTGCAATCCTCACAGCACTGTCCATGTGCACAGACAGCGTCGCCCTTCAGCGTGCAGGTCGTGGCATTGCAACAGGGGTTCATGCACTCCTAAGACAGAAGCCACACATGAAGGTCACTGCTTTTGAGTGCTACAGCTGTAATGTTAACGAAGAAAACTGATTGGCCCACCATCCCGAACATGGCAGTTTACTGCAAGGATTCATCCAATCATACCCTGACATGACTGTCATCTTAATCGGGGTATATATACTAACTCTCAAGCCAACACAAACTCACTACCTTCTTTTCTTGAGGATGTTTTGACCAGTGTTGGTCAATGCTAGTGAGGCCGGACTTGCCAACTTTATATAGATTATGGCAAAAAAATGTCCAGGGATGTTTTTCTAACATGGGAAAAGGTTGGTAAAGGCCCTAGGATATCACTGGTGACAAGCCTGGTACCATCATGGAAGCGCTTGGCTTGGACATTGGAGACACTGAAGGCTCCGTTCCATCCCGTTAGGATCTGGAGTGTCACTGTACACTGCACTCCCATGAAAGGAGTATGAGCAAAGATTTCAATCTTACATGCTTATTTGAGTTGGATCCTGTTCCTCCGAGAGATCTTATCCTGCCTTTGTATAGGAAGGGGGTCACTTTCATTCTGGCTGAAGGTGACCACCTGTCCCACTCTTCCTCATTCGCTGGCGTACTCACTGGAGTAGCAGGGGGCATCTGCCAGACAGCCAATCAGAGCTGCAGATATCCTCAGTACTGTATTACCAGCTATTTAAACACTCACTGCGGTTTTGACTGCTTTTAGTTATCTTTGAAAAAAGTATGTTATCCCAGGAAAAGTTTTGGACAGAACCTTTTAAGGCCTCTAAGGGTTACCATGCAACGTTGTATATTCAGGCCAAGGGTTTTCTGTGTTTAATTTGCAATTCCTGATTTGTTGTTTTCTTTTTTTCCCAGATAATTTCCATATAATAAGTAACACAACATTTTGAATGTCACTTCTAAGAACTCATTATATCATGGAAATTATAACAATTTATTTATGCCTTTTCAAAGCAAATGAAATAGTGCTATACTTTTTTGACGAAACAAATCACTTTCAATTGTTTATGACCGCATTCTGCATAATCAGAATTTTGCACGTGAGTCAGACTTATTCGAATTTGGAAAAGTTGTTCTGGGTAAAACATATATATTTTTAAAAGCACAGACTCAGATACGCACAGATTCTGCTGTTTCAGCAGCATCGACACCCAAACAAACAACAAACAATGGAAAGAAAACTCCCAAATGTTGGAAAATGAAGAACAGCTTAAGTAGTGCAGCAGAAATCAATGCCTCCTTGGGCATTTTACAGAAGACTGTAAAAAAGAAGGAAAATATATAGGCATTGATCACAGTAACACAGACAGATTTATTTTTAAAAAAGCAAATGGACCAGAAAGGCATGTTGCTGTCTCTGTTGGCACAAACACATCCACACTTTATTTTTTTACTTTTGTTGCTTTTTTTCTTGTTTTAGTTTTTTTTTCTCCAAGCGGATTCTGGTCTCTGCCTTCTATTGGAAGGCTGCTGTAGGGCTGGTGTTGCCCTGGTACCTGCAGTACAGATGTGGGGCTGCGTTCCCTCTGCTGTTAGCTTGCGCGTGTTTTTGACAGCTGGACCGATGGAAACCCTCGGCCCCAGTCATGTTAATTAAGAAAGAGTTTGTTTTAATTCGACACGATTCTAGACGGCGGTTACGATCCATGTGCGAACACGCTGTTATGGGAAGTGTTAGGAGGGCATGATCTGGGGGGGGGCGAATGTGGGGGGGCCGGCTGTCTGCCCGCGGCCGTAGTTGCGCTCTACCTCCAGCTCGCCGCAGTCGCACTCCTCGCCCTCCTCCACGTAGCCGTTGCCGCACTTCTGCCCCCCGTAGAGAACCTTGACCTCGGGCATGTTGAACAGACACATGCCCATTCCCTTTTCCAGGCTGGCTGCCAGATCTTTCTTACTGCAGCTGCTGAACACCGTGGGAAACGGGTACCTGAGGGGGCAGGGGGCAAAACAATTACGCAGTAAGGGCACTAGTTCCTCACAAAACAAACTATCCCTACTAAACACTGAAACACCACTGTTGTGGCCAAAAACACGCTTTAACGCAAATGCATATAAATGGTACCACTTTCTCTAATGTTTCTCGTCTTAACAATTGCAAAATAATTAAAAAGGAAATGAACATTCTAAACATTTCATCGTTCTTTACTAATGGTACTTAATTTATAGATTGTGTGTCAATGTTGCAGATGTTTTTTTTCTTTCTTGCATTTGTCCTGCCTATCTGTGCAGTTCATGTACAGAATATAGAACTGGGGAATGCTATCTTGCATCACCGTATGCAGTATACTGAATATGGTTGGTGTTTCAATAAAGTCCCACTTGACTTGACTTGATTTGACTTGAAACTGGAAGATATCCATGGTTTCTGGAAAATAGTTTGAGAGTGTAGATCTCCCGAGACAATGGACATCCACTTGCTGATAGTGCGTCATGATCGTCAAGCTCTTGACTGACATAATTAAGCACGTGCTTTTGCGAATCTTTCTCTTCCTCTTGGTTTTCAGTGCAGAGAATGCCTTTTCCATTAGGTTACTGTCAATGTAATTTAGAACAAGCTTCGCCTTGGAGACACTGCACTGGCCAGCCATTTCTGAATGTATCCCAAATGCTGTTTCAGTATCATTCCCCAAAGAGTGATATGAAAGCCTCTTAGATCTGACTAGAAAAGCTAGCTCTCTTTGTTTTGCTTTGTGAATGCATCTCTATTTAATCAATAAATATGGAGGCCATAGTGACTGGGAATCCCACCGCCTTGCATTTCTCCTATTTAAGTGGGATCAAATCATGTGTTTTGAGGACAATATGTACAACCTAAATGGAAACAGATATCTACGTCTGCATCTGGGTTCAGTTCAGCTTCATTCACAAGGCTTCTGCGGACCATCTGGAAATACAAGAATCTTTATTTACATGCAGTTTTCTGATGTTGCAAAGAACTTGTTTGGCCGGTCTACACACTCTCTGAGCTGTTATTTGACTTCTGTGACGTCCATGAAATGCAAAGATAGTAGAAATGACAGGTTCGAGGTCATGGCCAAGACTGACTTTACATGATGTAGTTGAGGTATTACTGACAATGGAGATGTCTGAGAAAATGAATACTGCATCTAGTATCAAAAACAAACCAGGGCAATTAACTTTGCAACCTTGATGCTATTATATCAGAGTTCCTGAACATAATCACTGGAGCACATCTTACTCTGAGCAAATACCTTCAGTTTGTTATTCGACTCTTACAAAGCCCAAAGAAAACTTTCAGCCTGGTTCCACAGCACTAAACGTTTCTGACATATTCATGAGGTGTTTTGATTGGCTGTCCCATGTTATTATTTGTTTTACGGATAGAAAAAGGTGTTTTATGAGTGAGAGACAAGAGGCGTCTGAGCCAGCGGTGGAGATCAGGTTTGCCAGACATTGAGTGTGTAATGGAGTGAGCAGATCAGATCGTCCAGAGCTCTGACATGACGCCACATCAGCAGAAATGCACCAAAGCTAACTTTGCACTATTTTGTACCATTTTTTCTGCTCCTGTGCCAGTTTCTAAGATGTTTTGTTGTCCTTTTGCAGTCCAAAAAAATAGAAACTGCCTATACTTCAATTACAAAGTGTTACAACATTCAGAAAAGAATATGATATGGTGCACAGTTCTTTGAAAAACAAAAAAACATAATAAAGGACTCCAAAAATCTATGGCATCATTTAATTTTGGATTTTCTTTCAAACCTCATTCCATTATAAATAGGCCAATTCAGCCTAAGTACATTGTTTAATCAATTGCTTCTAGACTTATTAGTGTTGCTCTCTAGTGTTTCGCTAAAGAAGTATTTCTAATATACACAGGGACCCCCAGAAAGTCGACATTTTTGCTCCTTCCCTGCTCCCTGCCAGACAGTCCACATTTTTGCTACCACCGGAAGCTGGGAGGGAGCAAAAATGTGGACTGTCTGCAGGTCCCTGAGGCCCGGATTGGGAAACACTGCACTAAAGGTATGAGAAAGTGCTGCAGAGTCACCAGGCCCGTAGCATACGGCATGCATTACTGAGCAAAGAGTTGCTGCTTAGCAACGGGGACAGAGCACACTGTAACCCTCTGTTCCATCCTCAATTTTCTCTGAGCACCTTGTTACAACAAACAATTATGGAAGTTATGTGTAAACAAGGAATCTGCCCCATTGTTGACCGGTTCCCGTGCTGTGTCCCTGCTACCATTTATTTGCACACATTCGCATCTACTTTTCCCCTCAAGACAATGTATTACGAAGTCTGGCATCTTATTCAATTAATATGCACTGCATGAACAGAAAAAAATAATGCAAATCGCATATGCTTTTGTTCCACTTTTATGGAAAATATATTAGACAAATACTCCTGCAGTGCTACCAGGCAAATATAAATCAACTATGGTAATATGTTGACATGCATATGAAATGTCCATTAAAGATGTAATTCATCCATTTTCAATAAGTGTTTATCCAATTTGGGATCGCAGGAGAGCTTGGAGCCTGTACTGGGCAGTACTGGGCATGAGGCATACTGTACATACCATGTGACACCAATTCACACAAACGACGTGCTTTTGCAGGACCTAAAGAAAGCTGGGACATACACAAGGAGAAGACACAAAATCTACAGCGATTCAAATGCACAACACTGGAAGCACTTTATCACTGAGAAAATATTTACACCAGCAAGACAAAACACTCATAACCAGTTTCTGAACATTATAGTAGAAAACCAAGCTGGGAAATGCAGCTATCAGTGGAAAATGTTATTCCTTCTAATAGCTGTGCTCCTTGACATGTCCGACTGCCCATCTCCAGCCTCAGCCCATCCACACAGTGAGAGGCCGACTGCACCAGCTTCAGAGCACATGGTAGATGCTTGTCACAACTTCATCCAGCTGACAATGTGTGAGCTGAGAAGAAGTCTGAGGAAGACTGGAGATAATAAAACCCAGAGTCTGTACAACACATGACCCCCCTCCCCCCCAGCAACACTGTCACAGCTAATCAAACCAGTGATGGCAGAGTGTCCTTGCTTAACATGAACTCTACCACGGTGTGGACTGCCGTGCCGATCTGTCACTTTCATCCATCTCCTCTTCATGTTCTAAGAGCCAGTAGATATGGTAACTCCCACAAAGGAGAATGTCACTAGCATGCAATCCACTGGTAAGAACAGAGGGAGGCTTCTTAGGCTAAAACAGCTGGCACTGTTTAGGACTTTCTCAACAGGAAAGCATATATGAGCAACGCAAATCATCTCTCCAGCTGTCACACCTCTGCACAGGGGTCACGACTTTGGGTTTGTCTCCTTCCATGTGGAATCTGGACTCCTACCAGCCATCTTCTCCTGTTACAACCAAAGTCTGTCTGTCTATCTATCTATCTATTTATCTATCTATCTATCCGTCCATCCATCCATCCATCCATCCATCCATCCATCAAAGTAGTGAGGATGGCGATTGGTCAACTACCACTAATCAGATCATCATTCAGCTGGATTTAAGACACTCTGGCATAATGTTTTTAAAAATGACTAATATTACGACAGAATGACTTGTGCTTTGTAATATGACATCATTGCAAGCCAAAAGAAAGATAACCAAGTCCATGAGCATATGGCTTCAGCTTTAGATTTACTACCGGGTCTGTTAAATATGAAATATATTAGGTAAATATTAGTCATTGTTTTCTTTTTATGATTCACTTAGCATCATATCAAGCTGAGTAACTGAGACCACAGAGAGTAAATCCAATGTTTGTCCTATACGTTCCACGCACAAAGTAGTACATATTTCTTGCATTTCGTTTTTTTTTTTTTTTTGGCAGTTACTCTTGTCACAGACTATAATTCTTTCACAACACATGTATATGTTATGAAAGAATGATAAGCTTTTTTACAATCATAATAAAACAACAAGTGGTTTGGGTGCGTCTGGCAATATTTCAAAACATTCACGGCTTGGACATCATCATTTTTAATTTATTACTAAGCCTTTCTGCATCCATGTCATAAAGATGGAAGACAAAGCCCTTTACATTAATGTGAATCTAGAGCAGAATTGCAAGAAGGTAGAAGCCTTCAGCCGCATTTAGTTTCATTAACTTCAAAAAGACATGAGTAAGCTCAGTTACTACAATACATAAATGCTAACTCAGACACTGGGCAATAGGGGAGGTCTGCTCTGAATCGATTCTCTCTGAAGGAATTACAGAAGCCTCTTCTTACTTTGGGGTGGACACTTCAGCCATCTGCACCCTTCACTCAGAAAAACACCCCCCCCCCCCCCCACAAAGGAAGTGCCTGGTCTTTATGTAGATATACAGATGGTTCCCTGGCATCTGCCCAGTTGGCCTGTTTGTCACAACTTAACAATGAAGGGCTGGCTGTCACTAATGCCCCCCCCCAACAGTCACATCAATGGCTCTCTTATGCCTCTCTGTGGAATCTCATCTTTACGCACCACTCAAAATTCATAGCAATCCCAAGCCCATCAGCAGTTTGGACAGAGAGAAACCCACACAAACTGCCTAGCAGGTACAGAAATATTATTTTTTGCTTCTTTAGGACAGTTGGCTATACAGTTTGACCTGGTACTAGAAGGTATCTAATGAGATGATCTATACCGAAAGGTGAGAAATCCAACCGTTTTCTTTGGTATTTATGTCACCATACCTACTACCATTTGAACCAAACAGGAATCCGGTCTGGATGAGAAATACAAACTAACAACCTCAATGTTTATACTTGGCCTGCGAGTGCAGGATCTGAAGACATAACGGGAATGTTAATTCCATTCTCTGAGTTGCTTCACACTGTATTAACTGCAGTAAACTAAGGAAGTCAGATGAATTCCCAGGGGTGAAGGCAGGCTCTTTTGTTTGCCCCATTACTTCCACTTTAGAAAAATCTTAGTCTTTCACAGAGCTTTTCCTAAAATCAATGTTGCCAGACACAATAACTGAAGAAAACGGAAATAGCCCAGGTGTGTGTGTGTGTGTATCTACAGTGTCCATTTGCAAGCCCTGCACAATTCTCTTCAGCTCCTTTGACAGCTCCTGAAACACTCCATTCTATTCAGAAGATTAGACAATTCAAACCATCTGCAAACTATTTAAAATGAATCACTAGACATTTACTGTCAGCAACTTTAGTTTAACAGCGTTTTTCTTTGTATAATTGCTAGTGTACCATAAAGTACGCTATAGATAGTGCTTTTACGTTATTTTATTTTACAGAAGTTTTTATCCAAAGCAATGTGCAATTGAGACAGCAGAGTTACACAGTCCCTGGAACAAATGGCGTTTAGGGCCTTACTCAAGGGACCGATGGTGAAAACTCTCTACTGGCCATGGGATTTGAGCCAACAACCTTCCGATCACTGGAAACAATAAACTGCAGATAAGTTAAACTGCGCTGGCTGAGAATCAAACCCAGATCAAACAGCTAGGCTAACCACTACACCACCAGGGAGAATAACATTGCATTGTGTGTATAATAGTCCAATTTTTTATATATAAAGATGCATTTGAAGCATTGATCTCAAGCAGATGAAAGAATTCCATTGGTAAATGCGGCAAGATCGTAACAGTAATGCCATCCCAACCAATCCGTGCAGAGATCCAACTCATGCTGCTTCCATTTCCATCAAGGGTGCAGGTTTTGTCTATTTCCCTGACGATGTTCATGCCCCATAAGTTTTCAAAAGGATGTATTTCACTAAGGTCACCCCCCGAAGCTTCCTCGAGTTTCTCGACAGCTTATGCTGGGTTGTTTTACGAGCACATAATTGAGAATAGTGTTACTCTGCTTTTCATGGACGCCGTCCAACTAAAACGGAGGAGCCATGCTTTCAGAAAAAACACTGCGCTGCGGCTTCTGATGGAAACGGGGGTGACAGAGATGTCCACATGAGACACCCTACCCAGCCTGGGTGAAGGTCACAGTGTTTCAAGTTATATGCTTGAATTGAATTCCAGTAGCATGCCTTGTTAAATCAGGTATGTGCATTTATTTTCTTCACAAAAGGCTTTCGAATCTGTCATATCATCATTACAAATCTCTTCATAATCTGGCTTCATCATATCTAGCTGATCTACTGCACAGACTCTCCCCCAAACGTTGCCTTCGTCCTGCTGACTCTAATCTCCTTTCTCTTCCTAAAATCACTAATTACCGCTATTGAGGTGACAGGGCCTTTTCTGTCACTGCCCCTCTCTATGGAACTCCCTTCCTAGTGACTTTAGGATCTCCTCATCTCTCTTATCACTTAAAAACTCTCTTAAGACCCATCTTTTCAAAATAGCCTATATTAGTTGACAGAACGTTGTCCTGTTTGTTTGCCTAATGTGTTTATGTGTTTCTATTTCTCTGAATTGCCTTTGTAAAGTAACTTTGAGCATATATATATATGTTACCCTGTGCCTGACATCATTTTATCCTGATACTAAGATGTCAAAAACCTTCCAAGCTGCTGTCATCTGACTTTTAACAGGGACCTGACATAATCTCCTATAATCATCTGAGCGGCAATACATGAAAACAAATTATATGGTTCAAATATTTGCAGGTGATAGGAATCAGGTCTTGGTGAACAGCAGTGGATTCTTACTTACAGTCAAATCATTAAAACATCTAAACAAATACCTGCTTATAGTACATATGTACCACAGTAACATGAATTGACCGAGGTCTTATCCCTCTGATTAAAGCCCTAATCAGATTTAGTGAAACAGGTCATCTGTTTATGAAGTAATGGCATCGGTAACTAACCACTGATCCTTATGTGACTCAGAAAATCCTTCAACAGGAGGAAAATGAACTGTGAATTAAGCTGAAATATCACAAAGCAGATACCAATGAACTACATCATCCCTAATGGCACATTTCGTTTCTTCCTGGCTTCTTTCTGGCTTACTAGACTTTTTCCAGCGTGATACAAAGGGCCTGTGCGATTAATGAAAGAATATGATTACAATAGATGGGAAACGTTACTTTTACGAGAAACACGCTTTTGTGCACGCTAGGCCCGCCAGCACTCAAGCTTTATACGAATAAAGATACGGCCAGATGATACTTACCCTGTGGAAGGGGTCATGATGCAGCCGCCTCGGTCTACTGTCATGCGACAGCCACACCCCCTCTCTGGTGTGTCGTGGTTCATTCCAAAATTGTGTCCAAGCTCATGTGCCAGGGTAACCGCAGCCCCGAGAGGATTGTCCGAATGATCCTGTAGGGGGGAATCAACATTACCTATCACTACTAACGGCAAATAAAGAAAAAAAATGCCAGCCTTGAAATGTCTTTGAATGAATGTCATATCATCATCATCGTCATCATCATCATTATTATTATTATTATTAGTAGTTGTGGTAGTAGTAGTAGTAAATGGCGAAACTTGGCAAAAAAGAAAATTTGGAATTTCAGGTTAATTAGTTTGGCCTAGTGGTAATTTTACTGTTGAAACAGGGGAAACACAAGTGGCATTTAAGCAAATGCTGGTAAACAAAGAGAGCAGACATTAAGAGTGTGAACTGCAAACTGGCTTGTAAAAGCGGACTGTGTGAATTATAGGTGTCCTTCCCCTAAGTGTTAAGGCACTCAGTATGTGTTCGATACAGCACAGGTAAGTGACGGTCAGCGAAGGGTTGGTGGAGACTGGAGCCCCATCAGTTCTCAAAGCTCATGGGAGTTTTACGTACACAAAAATGAGGGCAGAAGGAAAAATAATTGGTGCAGAGAGATACCCAATCAGATTGTAGAGGAGGTGGGTCCAAGCAACTAGAGGAGGCAGAACCAACCAATCAGATGTCTTGGCCCCACCTTCACCAAGTGCCCATTTTGAAATGTACACCAGTCAGAGGGCAATACACCAAACAGGATTGGGCATGCAAATCAAGCAAATTCACACACACAGTCACACACCATGAGCAATTTAGTGACAGCAATTCACCAAACTTCTTATATTTGGACTGTTGGAGGAAATCCATGCAATATAGACAGGACATGTAAACTGAACACATATGGAGGAACAACTCCTCAATCCTGGAAGTGTGAGGCATCACATAGAAAATATTGAGTTCCTGCCCAGATTCCTGGGAGTGCTATGAGAGCAGTTAAAGTCTCTTCGAGTTAGTAGCCTGTAAAAAGTCCTTCCTTTCCTGCACTGTTTTATTTATGATGAGTCTTCTGTTTCTCACTGAATATGCACTGAGCAATCGGCTGTTTTTTGGTGAAACACAATCACTATTGATGGAAACCCCATATGGAAGACCAGCGTATACACAGAAATTATTTTATTTGCGTATTCATAAACAGTCATTTTTTAGGCTGCACATTCTTTTTAGAGTGTATAACTTTAATGGCTGATGTGGAAAAAAACACCTCAGTTTTGACTCTTTATATGATCCCTCATTATCAAATCTGAAAAAAAAGTCATTCTTAAAGGGTCATTTATTTCCAGTCACTGGGATGGGGTCATTCCTCCCTACATCGTTACAGTTCATATTTATTGCCTAAGCTTTGTGTAATTTAATATGGTTGTTTTAATTCTTCAAATAAAATCAGTGACTCATGACTTGTGACTTGTGTGAGTTTTGTGTTCCCTTCTTTTTTAAAGTTCTTGATGGGTGTGGACCCTTTCAGGCGACATTTGCAAATTGGAATGAACCTATTCTGCATATGTTTTCTATTAATGTGTTTTGGTTACAAATCATTAATTCATACCTTATAGGAAATCCCGATTGCTTACATTCATTTTGGCATTCTTTCACTGTCCAGAAAATGCATGCTTAGAAATCTATCTGATGCCTTCTGCAAGATCAGAAACTCTGAAGCTGATGAATGCAGGAGGGATCGGATTTCTCTGGTGACACGGTGACCGCAATGCATCGTGTCCGAGTCCCTTCTGAGGTCTTTACTCACCATGACGATGCCACCTGACTGCTCCGCTGTGCACATGCTCATTATGGGCGCCATGCCAATGGTGGTGCCTTGAAAGTAGACTCCACTGTTGGGGCACAACTCAGTGGTTACTACAGGACTCATCAGTTATACATATTGTTATCGTAAATATATATGAAGAAACCCCAGTTTGATCTATAAGGGTAAATGGAGATATTTTTGCTTTTGCCTCTAGTTATACGCACCTGACAAGCTGTGCATTGTCGTGAGGTCTCTGAGGCAGCAGCTTCAGCTTCCTCCAGTCGAGGAATTCATGCAGCGTAGTGAAAGGGTCCTGCGTGATGGCACACTTGTCCGTGTCGCTCCATACTTCCAGGCCCACAAGGGCCACTCGGATGTTTAGGGCCCTGTAGAACTATGAGACATATAATCCTGCCTGACAATCTCCCTGTGCAATGAACAAAGAATCACTAAATCTATTAGCTCATCTGGTTTCTCAAATATAGCGCTGTGCAAAAATCTTAGGCAACCAGAGATTATTATATTTAAATGGTCCTTATGTTGGTGTAAAACTATGTCTGTCGAAGTGTGTTAGTAATTTCAATACCTTTTTGCGGTGACCGGCCAATATAGCCATGCATTTGTGAAGTTGACTACTAGCATAAGATGTTGGACTAATCAATACATCATCCATCCATGCAAGGCAGGCAACAATCCAGGATGGGGCGCCAATGCACAATACCTCATCAAGTTATTTAATTAATTAAGTTCATTAATTAAGTAAGCTGGTGGTGAAATTTAACAAATTCATGGGATGGCTGAGGAGAGGTTTGGGAATTCAAGCAGTGTTCATCTAGCCATCTAGCAAGGAATCAGTGACTTTGGAGAACAAAACAAATTCTTGTTATTTTTAAAAATTGTGTTATTGTGCATTTGCATATATTCTGATTTTAAATACTGTCCTTTTTCTGAGCATATATATATATATATATATATATATACACTTACTACCCAGATATGTAGCTTTCAACATTTTCTTTAACTGCATAAGACTTGCACACAATGCTGTGTGTTTCTCACAAAGTTGACGTACTTGCTATTCGTTTATTTTTATTGTATGTATAACGAGAATTTAATGTGTCATTTTCCACGCACCCAGTGTAACAGGGAATGGTACAGTATGTGTTCTTCCTCCAAAGTCCCGAGCTGTACTTACCTTGTCCACATAATTAGCAATCTCAGCTAGCCTCTGTTTCACTTTCTCCATGTCCTTCCCTTGTTTCTGAAACTGGTACACAGTTGAATAATGATTTTTTTCCCCATTGTTCTTTGTTTTTACTATCACAGATCATAGTGTTCTTGACAAGAATTTGTCCATATAATCACGTCTATAACTGTCGCAGTATCAAACGGACTGGTCCTTTTGCCACGTGCAGTGAGATGGTGAGATGGATTGTGAAACATACAGCCCATATATGATGACTACTAGTGCCTGTGGTTCCTTTGTCTGGCTAGATGACTGAACATTTTCCTCAATTCCCTGTAAATTGTTGCTCTCTGCCGCTACTTCTGCCACATTGATGTAGCTTTGAAGTCCGGCTGTCTTTCACTATTTCCTTTATTTCAGTGCAGAATGGTTATGTTTTGATGTGGCTGTCCGACGTGAGCATTGACATTCAAGTTAACTGACCTCTCTGTTGTCGGCCACGATGATCAGCTCCACGTACTTTGTGGTCTTCTGAGTATGTCTTTTGTTCTAAAGCAGAACAGAAAAACAGACAGCAAGCCTGACGTTTCACCTCTGACACATTTATCTTCAAAAAGGCAAACTAAAACAACATTGTTTATACATTCACATTTTATTTATGTAGCAGATGCTTTAAACCAAAGCAATGTACTTTTTCTGAAAGGAAAAAAAAACAGTTCCTGGAGGAATTTAGAGTTAAGGGTCTTGCTCAAACCCTCAATGGTAAAATCACTGAGTCGACCACAAGATTTGAGCCTACAAACATCTGGTCAAAGGTACAGTGTTTTAGCCCAATGATGCACACAGCACCACCTGAAGGTATAGCCAGTATATGGGGCAAGGTAGTGATGTTCTGCAGGCCAGTTGCATGTAGTAATAACGTAATTACAACATTTATCCTGACCTACAATAACACCTATGGACAATATGGACCTTATTTATGACATGGAAATATTTATTTAAAGCAGAAATGAGCCACTTGAACCCAGATTCCCTAATTTAGGAGGCTAAAGCCTTATCCATTAAGCCACTGGGTCAAAGAAAACATGCACGATGGATCGAAATACACATTTTATTTATTTAGCAGAACTTTTAGAAGAAGGGAGGCACACGGCTGAGAGGGAAGGGTCCGGCGGTCCCTGGGGCGGGGGGGTTAAGGGCCTCGCTCAGGGTCCCAAAAGTAGCCAGTGGCTTAGGCAGCATTAGCAAGCAAAGTAATTTCTCAGAGTAAGAGAAACAGTACTGGGCAGGAATGGGAGACAGGTCTCCTGCAAAGCAAGCGAGAAGTTTACCACTCAAGCACCAGTGATTTCACACATCAGCTGAATATTTTTTAATGCAAAAACATGGGTGGCATCATCCTTTGGAATAAAATGCATGATCAAATAAGTCTTTCAGCATGAAACTATGCACCACACATTTTGTGAGGCATGCCAGTGTACTGTCAGAACATGCTGCTGTGATGTATTTTGCAGTGTAGTCCAGAAGGGGAGGATGACAGGGAAGCTGGGGCCTGACAGGGACATTTGAAGGGGGGGGGGGGTCCTGCTCTAGGGAGCAGCACTGATCCATGCACTGGCCTGCCATCTGGTCCACTGGCCACCAGTTTTCAGTTTTCACTTGGGGGCCCATTTTTTCTATTTCTGTAACACTGACTCTTAATGTCTTTAGCGGCAGGATTTGTGGGCTAAGAATCTGCCCAGGACAGGGGTGGGATGCTTTTTCCAAAGGCACCCCCCTCTCCGCCTCACCATGTGGTACAGTCCATACTGCCATCAGTCATGTCAGACTTCTTTTCAGCCTGCGGAGGCTCGTATTCTAAATATTGGTCGTTCTTTGTA